AAAAAATCAGCCGGGAGTGGTAGCGCATGCCTGTAATTCCGGCTACTCGGAAGGCTGAGGTGGAAGGATCGCCAGAGCCCAGCAAGTTGAGGCTGTGGTGGCCAGGAGCAGCCACCGCACTCCAGTCTGGGCAGCAGAGTGAGATTTCAACTCAAAAAAAAAAAAATGCATGTCTGTTTATCCAAAGAGCACACATCTGAAGAGGTCAAATGTGGTGACTCAGGCCTGTAATCTCAGCATTTTTGGAGGCCAAGGTGGGAGGATTGCCTGAGCCCAGGAGCTCAAGACTAGCCTGGGCAACTTAGTGAGACCTCGTGTCTGCAAAAAATTTAAAAATTAGCCGGGTATGGTGGCATGCGCCTATAACCCTAGCTACTAGAGAGGCTGAGGTGGAAGGATCACCTGAGCCCAGGTCAAGTCTGTGGTGGGCTGTGATCATGCCACTGTACTACAGCCTGGGAGACAGAGACTCCAACTCAAAAAAAAAAAAAAAAAAGAGTCTCACTCTGTAGCAAAGGCTGGAGTGCATTGGCACCATCATGGCTACCACAGCCTGGACCTGCTGGGTTCAGGCGATTCTTCCACTTTAGCCTTCCAAGTAGGTGGACCTACAGGAACACACCACCATGCCCGGCTAAATTTTTTTATTGTAGAGATGAAGTCTCGCCAAGTTGCCCAGGCTGGTCTCAAACCCCGGGGCTCAGGCAGTCCTCTCACCTCGGCCTCCCAAAGTGCTGGGATGACAGGTGCGAGCCACCGTGCCTAGCGAGTTGACTTCTCTAAGCCAAGGCTGTGCCGGGGCCTCCAAGAGGACTGATTCCCGAGTGGGAAGTAGCCAAGCCTCAGGAAACCCATCTCACCACTCACCCTCCAGCCACCCAAACCTCTGAGTCTTAGTGTTCTCATCTTTAAAGTAAGGACGAGCTGGGCTCGGTGGCTCAGCCTGTAATCCCGTGCTTTGGGAGGCTGAGGTGAGTGGATTGCCTGAGCCCGCGGGTTCGAGACCCACTTGGGAAAATTGGCGAGACCTCATCTCCACAATAAATAAAAAAATTAGCTGGTCATGGTAGCGCTCGCCTGTAATTCCAGCTACTCAGAAGGATTGCCGGAGCCCAGCAGGCGAGGCTGCGGTGGCCGGGAGCGGCCACTGCACTCCAGTCTGGGTGACAGAGCGAGACTCCAACTGACAAAAATAAATAAATAAATAAATAAAGTAGGGATGGACACATCCATCCACACACACTGAATGTCCACCAAGCCAGGCCCCCTGCTACGGGCTGGCAAAGCAGCAGTGAACAGAGCAGACCACTCACATTCCACTTGGGAAGCAGAAAACAAACATAGGCCACAGGCAAAAAGCCCTTAGCAGACAGTAAGGCAGGGGAGGCTGCTTTCACCAGGCTGTAGAGGGTGACAGTGTGGCAGAGGTCTGAAGAGGCGAGGAAAAGACTACGCGAACAAGCAAGGGAAGGCGGCATGAGGACAGCTTGGGCACACAGCACCTAGCCCCACGAGTGACGACACGACTATCACGATCACTCCATGCTCCCTGCCCACAGCTCTGGAGGACATGGAGTGGGACACAGCACTTACTGAGCACTTGCTCAGGCCAGGAGTGGCCCAGGCCTGGGAGCACACGAATCTCCCTCACTCCTGCAGTAAGGGGGTACTAGCGCCCGTTTCCGAGGTAGGAAGCTGAGGCTCAGAGAGGTTAACCTGCCCAGGTCACACCACAGCAGGGAACCAGGACCCAACTCAGGGCTGTGAGCCTCCCAAGTTCCTCCCCAACCAGGATGCCACCCTCCCTGCCAGGGTAGATGCCAGCTAGGAGACTGCTGTGTAGACACCATACTGACTGCTGAGGCCCAGAGATGGAGAAGGGCTCGACCAGGAACACCTCCTGGGGGAGGTGGTGCTGGCCTCACCTTCCGGATTGGAGCAGAGGAGGCATCAGAGCAGAAAGTTGAGCCCTGGACCAGAGCCCAGCACTTGGGCAACCTCCCCAACGCCCTTACACAGGCCAGTCCTGCTGGGCCAGGGTGGCTAGGTCCCCTCCTTCTCTTGGGATCTAGACCTCACCTTGGGCTTGGCGTGAACTGTGAAGCTCAGTAACCCGTGGTACACCTGCAGGGTCACGGGGTAGCCCCAGGCCTCCAGGTCTTGCTTCCGCAGAAGGGTGGCCAGGCAGGAGAGGACCTGGAGAAGGAAGCAGAGTCCTCAGTTCCACCAGCCTCGGGCAGGCGGGGAAAGAGCCCAGGTTCTCACTGACTCCAGAAAATGCCAGTGGGATCTGGCTGGGCATGGGGGCTCATGCCTGCCGTCCCATCACTCTGCGGGGTTGAAGCAGGAGGACTGCTTGAGGCCAGGAGTTCGAGACCAGCCAGGCAACAAAGTGAGACCCCGTCTCTACAAAAAGTGAAAAATTCAGCCAGGCATGGATGTGTGCACCTGTAGTCCCAGCTATTCAGGGGGCTGAAGTGGGAGGATCACTTGAACCCAGGAGTCTGAGGCTGCAGTGAGCTGTAATTGCACCACTATGCTCCAGCCTAGGTGATGTAGCGAGGCTTTGTCACTTAAAAAAAAAAAAAATTCCCGTTGGGTGCAGTAACTTACACCTATAATCCCAGCACTTTGGGAGGCCGAGGTGAGAGCATTGCCTGAGCCAACAGGTTTGAGACCAGCCTGGGCAACTTGACTAGAACTCATCTCTACAATAAATTTTTAAAAAATTAGCCGGGCATGGTGGCACAAGCCTGTAGTTCCAACTGCCTGGAAGGCTGAGGCGGAAGGATCGCCTGAATCCAGCAGGTTGAGCCTGCAGTAGCCGGGAGGATGCCACTGCCCTCCAGCCTGGGCGAGAGTGAGACTCCGACTCAATCAAACAATCAATCAATAAAAATAAAAAATCCCACTGGGCGTGGTGGCTCATGCCTATAATCCCAGCACTTTGGGAGGCTGAGGTGAGAGGACCGCCTGAGTCCAGGGGTTCGAGACCAGACTGGGCAACTTGGCAAGACCTCTAGTCTCTGAAATCACTCAAAAAACTAGCTGGGGGCCGGGCTCGGTGGCTCAGTCTGTAATCCCAGCGCTTTGGGAGGCCAAGGTGAGTGAATTGCCTGATCCCGCAGGTTCGAGACCCGCCTGGGCAACTTGGCAAGACCTCATCTCTACAATAAAACAAAAATTAGCCGGGCATGGTAGCGCGCACCTGTAGTTTCCGCTATTTGGAAAGCTGAAGTGGAAGGATCGCCGGAGCCCAGCAGGTCGAGGTTGCGATAGCCAGGAGCGGCCACTGCACTCCAGTCTGAGCGAAAGAGTGAGACTCCAATACAAAAAAAAAAAAAGTAGCTGGGTATGGTGGCATGCGCCGGTGTTTCCAGCTACTTGGAAGGCTGAGTCAGAAGGATCACTGGAGACCAGCAGGTGGTCGTGAGCATGCCACTGCACTCCAGTTTGGGCGACAGAGTAAGAACCCAACTAAAAAAAAAAAAAAAATTCCCCAAAAAGATCCTCAACATAATCTGCTTGGTGGCCTAAACCGCTTCCAGGAGCGTCCAAGTTTTAGCCAAATCAGAAGGGCCCTGGAAAGGGCCAGAGTGGAGACTGAGACCTAGACACTAACCCAGCGGAGGACAGAGCTGGAGCCGCTGCTGGCCTGGGCTGAGAGGATGTCCATGAAGGCTTTGGAGGTGTCAGAGAACTTCTTAATAAGCACAGGATTGGGAACACTGTGGAAAGAGAACAGTCACAGGCACACTGAGAGCAGCTGGAGTAGCCCTCCATGGAAGGAAGGAGGAAGCTGGACAGAGGAAGGCGTGTCGTCGACCCGGTCACTCAGCAAGGGAGCAATGAGTCGGGACAGGAGCTCACCCTCCCCCCACCCAGTTCCAGGGTTTCTACCTGGGCGCCCGCAGCCCTCGCCGTCTCCACTAACCCATGCGCTTAGAAACTTCACCACGCCTCACTCCACCTCCCCCAAGTCTCTAAAGAGCCTGAGGCCACATTCCACCCCCACCTGCACCACTCATGGCCCCACAGCTGCCCCTGCCCCAGGTGCCAACACGGGCATCCACTGGGGTCATGGCCCAGGCCACCTCAGGGTCTGATGCTGAACAGCACCACCTGATATGCCAGTATCTTCTCAACTGCTTTATTTTAATGTTTCTAAATGTGGTGAAATACACATAAGATAAAATTCACCATTGGAGCCATCTTTTAAGTACACAGTTCAGTACCGTTAAGTACATCCACAGTGCTATGCAGCCAGTCCCGAGGCCTTTTTCCACTTAAAGCATCAAGGATCTTTTTCAAAACGCCCTAGGTTTATTTCTCCTGCCGCGTTCCCCCCTCCCCTCCAGAGATCCGGGTTCCAGTCGGGCAGGACTCACCGCTTCAAGACCAGGTTCAGCAGGTAAGCGACGGCCGCCAGAGACTCCGGGGACTCTACCGCCTCCATCGTGGTCATCTGGGGGCCAGAATCAGGGAATGAAGAGAGCAAACTCATGACGGGCAAAGAGGAAACAGGAAAGGGGACCATGTGCCCAGCAGAGAATCCCAGCATCAGAGGTTCACATCCCGACTCTGTCACTGTGGGACTCTGAGCTAGTAATTTAACCTGTGACTCAGTTAAAAAAATGCAATACCGGTCGGGCTCGGTGGCTCAGCCTGTAATCCCGCACCTTTGGGAGACTGAGGTGAGTGAATTGCCTGAGCCCACGGATTAGAGACCCGCCTGGGCAGCGAGACCTCATCTCTACAATAAATCAAAAAATCAGCCAGGCGTGGTAGCGCACGCCTGTAGCTCCAGCTACTTGGAAGGCTGAGGCGGAAGGATCGCCGGAGCCCAGCAGGTTGAGGCTGCGGTGGCCAGGAGCGGCCCCTGCACTCCAGTCTGGGCGACAGAGTGAGACTCCAACTCAAAAAAAAGAAAGAAAGAAAGACAAAACAGAGCTGTAGAGTTTTGTTTTATAAGAATAGTGGGGCAAATCCCACCAGCCTACAGGGCCACTTCATCGGGCCACGGCTGTCCTTCCCATCCCCCCATGCCAGGCACCTGGGTCCTCTCTGCAGTGTGCTGCTCTCAACACCCACCCTCCATGGCACCCACTCACCAGTGCAGCAAAGTACTCAGTCTCTGTCTCCTTCCCTCCCTGAGAGCGAATCACCTCGGTGACAGCAGCCAGGACGGCACAGATCTGCAAATGGAGAAGACAGCGTCTGTGACACGAGTTGGATCTAACCCCTGCCCAGCGTGGTCTCTTCTCCTTGCTCCTTCACAAGTCAGCCTCCTGATAAAGCTAAGAGATGGACAACATATACAACATTCACAGCTAGGCCCACCCCAGAGGGCCTGGTCAGTGGGGAACACGTCTGCCAGAATTCCAACGCAAGGACTTTTTTTAAAAATCAGAGTCTCACTCTATAGCCCAGGCTGAAGTGCAGTGGCACGTTGCCCACGGCCACTGCAGCCTCAACCTGCTGGTCTCAGGTGATCCTTCCACCTCAGCCTTCCAAGTAGCTGGAGCTACAGGCACATGCCACCAGGCTCAGCTAATTTTTTGACTTATGGTAGAGGTGAGGTCTCGCCAAGTTGCCCAGGCTGGGCTCAAACCCATGAGCTCAGGCAATCCTCTCACCTCGGCCTCCCAAAGTGCTAGGACTATAGGCGTGAGCCACCACACCTGGCCAGGACTACTTCGTGTAGAATCACCTGTTGAGCGTGCGAGCACTTAGGTACAAAGGTGGCTGGTGAAGCAACAACAGGAACAACCCAGCAGCTGTCACCAGGGACTAATAATGGACTACAGTCATCAGTCAGCCCTACTTCCAGGAAACCCCATGGATACCAAATCCGAGGGTGCTCTCTGATGTAAAATAATGTAATACTTGCACATAACCATGCACTTCCTTCTGCCAACTTCAAATCATTTCTAGGCTACCTGCAATGACCTGCTGGGCTCAGATGATCCTTCCGCCTCAGTCTTCCAAGTGGCTAAAACTACAGGTGCGCACCACCACACCCAGCTAATTTTTTAATTTATTGTTGAGTCGAGGTCTTGCCACATTTCCCAGGCTGGTTTCAAACCCATGCACTCAGACAACCCTCTTTCCTCAGTCTCCCAAAGTGCTGGAATTACAGGCATGAATCACCATGCCCAGCTGGTATTACTTTCTTATTGTCTTATTTTTTTTATAGGTTTTTTAAAAAAAATTTTCAATCCACAGTTGATGATTCTGCAGATGCACAGTACACATGGAGGGCTGACTGTGAGCTTCGTACTAAACAGCAAGACTTCAATACTGTGTGATCATTGAAAAGAACAGAAACAGCCATATATCTTAACTAATAAATACCATCCAGCGGGGAAAAAGTTGCAGAACAGCGGACATAAAATAATCACATTTGGGTAAACCTAAATAACAAAATATGGGTAAAGACATTAAAAAATGTCTATGGTCAGGTGCAGTGGTTCACGCCTACAATTCCAGCACTTTGGAAGGCCAAGATGAGAAGATTACCTGAGCCCACAGGTTTGAGACCAGCTTGGGCAACTTGGTGAGACCTCAATTCTACAATAAATCATGAAAAATTAGCTGGGCATGATGGCAAATGCCTATAGTTCCGGCTCCTTGGAAGGTTGAAGCGGAAGGAATGCCGGAGCCCGGCAGGTCGAGGTTGCGGTGGCCGTGAGCAGCCACTGCACTCCAGTCTGGGCGACAGAGTGAGACTCCAACTCAAAAAAAAAGTCTAGGGCAGGAATACCAACAGGTTACTGAGCACTTGAAACTTGCCTAGTGTGACTAAATAAACGAATCTTTAATTTTTAAATTTTAATTCGTTATATTTTATTTATTTGTTTCTTTTTCTCTTTTTTTTTTTTTTTTT